AAAAAGTTTTATCAATGTATTTTCGAATATAATTACGATAATGATTGTAATGAATAACAAAATTGTTAACAAATAAATATTTAATTTAAATACAAATATAAATTAAATGTATTAAAAATGGCCTATACTAATAATAATTCGGTGATTCTTAATTATATTTAAGTTTCAATTAAGTATTTTGTACCCAGCTATATTTAGCTAATTACTGCATAGTGTGGTTCATATGGAATTTAAAATATTGATATTAAATAAAATTTGGTGCATGGCAATTTTATATAAGAATTTATTTCAAAACTAAAAATCATTATAAAAAGTAATAAGTAATGGTATAAATAAAAATGGCTGTAATAAAACACGTCGGGAACACCACTCTGGCATACTTGTCCACCTCGTTATTACGCTGATCGGGTGCCACGAATGCCACCAGCCTTTTGGAAATCCTATTATTACCGGCGATGCGATTCTGTTGGCCATTGGGGTCAGGGGTGGTGTGGGGCCAGCCTATGGCCACCGCGTACTCGAGAAGTGCGGCGAAAACAAACACAACGCATACCATAGTCCACACCTCCAGCGCATAGGTATACGAGATGTTGATCTCTCGCTGTATTTGTTGGGCTATGAGTGCCAACAGGGCTGTGATGATGAGGGCCACCCGGGCGGGTGCCGCTTGCGTGGGGATCCAGAAGCCGATGAATGTCATGGTGACGATCAGTACGGATGGGACGTAGCGTTTGATGAGGTAGGTGCCGACGTATCGCTGGAAATGGATGATGACATACAGGCAACTATAGTCTCCCAGTCCCTGAAACGGTTTGGTGCAGTTGCCCGTCGAGTTGGCGATGATCTCGAACTCCGGGAGCACCACATGGGAGCCGATCCGGAAGTTGTCCCAAACCAGTCGTACGTCGACTATGGTTTGTGATACTGTATGACAGACGGGAATGGGATGTCATGAAAAACGGGAATGGGAAGTCATGACAAACGAATTTATATAAAAAATAATGTAAAAACTTATTTTAAATTGTCCAGTTTATATTCAAAATATAATCATTTCTGTAATATTAATTGATATAACTGTAATAACTTTATATATTTATAAATTACTTTTCTACCTGATATTAAATCAATTATTAAATAACATATTATATATTATGCTGCAAATTGTAAATTAAAGCTGGTTGAAAATAATGAATAGTTTATAATTAATTTTTAAATACTAATTACTAATTAGTATAATAATAGTTACACTTTCCAAACTCTTAAGATTTTTTATTTAATAACAGTTTCTAAAATAAATCAAATTATTAATTAACAAACTATTTTTTAAATATCACTTTCTATTGAATGTTAAATCAAATATATTATAATTTATAGACTAATTTATAATTACTAAATATTATATCATTACTGAATACTCACATGTTGTAATATTAACAAAACAAATCTGAGTGTCAAACGGAAATTTGGTAAATTGCATGTTACAACTGAGTTTTAATTGGAACCGGGCCGCCATAAACACCTTGGTGTTATTTGTTATTGTAAAGTAAACACTCGGATGCAAAACACTCGGCACGCCACCATCCATACTGTTCCTGAAATAGGTGTCGGGTGTCCAGAGTTTGTCTTTCCATTCTGAGCCCAGAGTCACCTTTTCAGTAGCCGGTACTGTCAACCGGTGGTCATACCAATGGAGGTGATAGAAAAAGTCCATAACCATAGACTATACGATTAAATAGAGTAATTGTAAGCAGGTTAATTTTACTTAATTATAATAATAAGTATTAAATCATTACTTGCGCAGCACCGGCATCCGGCTTAAGGCTAAGTACGGACATGGATACGTTCACATTGACCGGTTGTCCAGGACGTGAAGGTGCGATATCCTGGTTATAATCTTCGGGTACAATATTTTTCCACGTTTTCTCACACAATACGAGTGAAAACAATGTCATCGATTGGCAACACAATAGAAATTGTAGGAAATGTTTGGAAAACATTGTGTGAAATAAAAATATATTCATAAACAGATGTATAAAACACACAAAAACCACACTAAAATTAAATAACAATTTCTAACAAAAATTAAATATAAAAAGTGTCCTGATCAGAATTAATGAATCAAAATAAAATTTTTAAAAATTTATGTCATATACAAATATTGCACAAATTGAATGTAAAATTCACAATTGAATAATAATCTATGAAAATCATATTTTAAAGAATATTCGCAAAAGTTGTTCAAATTTTTGACTCAAACAAACATCAGGTATATCTATGCATTCGCTCATGACATACAAGTGCCGTATAATTAAATTTCAGGTACAGGAGTACTGTAGCCCTGTATATTTACCGTAATTAAAATTAACATCTCTAGAAACACGAGAATCACTAAATGTGAGGCATAGACAGTGAACTCCGTTTATATTGAACTAAAATACATCCAACGGTAGAGTATATTGATAAAAACAAGTTGGTTGAAATTATTTGAAATTATTTAAACATATTTTGTTTATAATTAAGTTCTGATAAATGGGTTAGAGATCACTGAAATATTTTATCAAATACCGTACAGTACTTACAGAATACAAGTGAAATGCTAAATTGTGTATACAGCAGGATACTTTAACAGTACATCACTTTTTATAATTTATAGACTATAATAATCAGACAAATATGTTTGAAATCTATATATTAATATACTGTAATTCAACTTATACATTGTATACTATTGTCACATAATTATGTATTTTTATTTTAGCACATACAGTATGTAACGCTACTGTAGTTGATATAGCGTTAATTTTAAATTGCTTATTGAGTATAATACAAGTAATTATAATAAAAAGCACACTTTTATCACATTTATAAAAACATTTGAAATTGGAGAAAGTATGTTTATATTACTAAATAAATTGTTTATTTTAAGATTAGAAAGTATGTAAGTTTACAACAAAATCAAATAATATAAAAACTACGAAAAATTAATTTAATTACAAAATAATAAATCATAATTGTTGATGTATCTCCTACTTTTTATGCTCTTTCAAATGAGCTATCAGATGTGAATTGAAGTTTTTAAGTTATAGAATATTTTACATAAACTACCTGTGTCGAGCTAACGGTGCTCGAATTAAGCTGTCTCTTCGGGAGCACATGTAAAGCTTAAAACCATAGTTGGGGTTTAAATGGATTAAAATTAAATGATCTAGTTAAGAAATAATTTAATTTTTACTAGAGCAAAGGCATTGGGATTTCTTTTTTCCAGACATTATAATTCATATTAACTTTTGATATAATTTTTGTTGTTTTGTTTTGTTAACACTTGTATCTAATTTATTATTTGAAATAAAATACACTATTTATTAATACAGTATAACTAATAATGCAAAAACATATTCTGTAATAATCCTGAAATGGTAAATACAGTATATTATACAATATACAGGTGCTTAACACAGTAAAATAAATATTGAAAATTTATTTTTATACTTTGTTTGTTATAACTTATAAGTAAATAAGTGTCTATTGCACACAAAACATTATGTATCAAATAATTAATTTAATCAAATACGAGGGCTATAGAAAACTGGCTCATTGTAACTTTAAATATACAGTACCAGGAAGATATTTTAAATAAATTATTGCAATTTTAGGTGATATAGAAGTACATGATATACAGTACTAAGAATACTAAATCAAGTCATTCATCCGCATCCCTGTCCACGCATTCGTTGTGATATAGCGGCACTCGATGGACAACTGCTCCGAGAAAACCTCCATTTATGTCAATACTTGTGAACTTCAGTTAGATTTCTACATTAGATGTATTAGTATAACATTTTCTACAAATCCTATTAAAACAGTAAGAATTAACTGAATAATGCACTCATTCTCACACAGATTGGCATTCATAAGGGGTTTCTAAGGGGTTGGGCTTTTTAAGGGTTTTGATTTCTACGACGGGAAACCCTTTCCCGGCCTTTAATATTGAAACCCGTTCCCATCTGAAACCCTTAAGGGTCGAGTCGGACAAGGGTTCCCAACTTCCTATTCTAAGTGGCATATTGTGACACATTTTGATTTATTCATTTCATTGAACAAGGACTGTTATATGATAGTGCAAGTAGTCTATTTACGGTAATAAAGTGATACAGTGTACAAGTAAAATAGTTTTACCGCAATATGATTGCATACTTAAAGTCCAATGTTAGAGTCGATCGACATTAAATAGCCTTAAAAATAATATTTCCGAATATAATTACGATAATGATTGTAATGAACCACAAAATTGTTAACAAATAAATATTTAATTTAAATCCAAATACAAACTGAATGTTTTTCAAAAATAAAAATTCAAATCCAAATTCGTTTATAATCATAAACTTATGTTATTTGACAAAACAAATAACTTTCAATAAAAATGAATTCCACTTTAAAAAAGTGATACAAAACCGAAAGGGAATGGCATTAGAGAGTGGAGAATAAAATGACTGAATTTTTCATTTTAATTGAAGTCAAACCAAACGACAGCTAATTAAACATGAATTTCAGTCTCTATTTATAGCAATTCACAAAACAATAGCATTCAACAGCATAAGTGATTTAAATCTTAATTGTGTGAAAATGTCTTCAAAATCAACACCTGTTGCCTCTGGAGTTATCACTGAATAAGTTGTTTTCAAAATCTGTTTTTAGTGATATATCTCAAGTTTTACCACTAATTCACTCCGGATTTCATGTTTGGCTAGGAAATTTTAAATCACATTTAATTAAACCATTTTGATAGTAAAAATTTTCCATTTATTAAATTCTTTACCATATATTGACAACTGTACTCTTAATAGTGCACTGATTCACACACAGATTGACATTCATTGCATTCTTCATATTATACATCCCGTTGTGATTCACATATTGGGAAACATTTTGATTTAAAAAATTCATTTCAGTGAACAAGGACTGTTACATGATTGTGCAAGTAGTCTATACTGTGTACAGGTAAAATAAGTTAGTTTTAAGATGATAGGCAA